TCAGGGAAAAGGACTCAGGAGATTTCAGTTCTTTCCAGCTCTGGCTTTGACTCCAACTGGCTGGGTGGTCTGAGGGATTTTATTTGTCTATGGAGTAAATGTTGTTCAAGAGATTGGGACACGCACAACGCAGTCGCAGGCGCGGTGCAGGGGGAAGATGAGGAGGCCGGCGCTCCCCTCCGAGGAGGCAGAATACAATGGGACACGTGCGTGCACACACGCACAGCTCACCCTTATGCACACGCACATGTGCGCACAGCTACCACTCAGAGCAGATGCAAAGGCAAAGGGGGAGCAGTCACCCTCGGGCCGAAGGTAGAACGTCGCAGTCTCAAGGGTTCCCCCAGATCGACAGGCTGGTGGTGTCCCCGCAGAACCTGTCTCTCTGTCCAGCTGTGTAACCAGGGTCTGAAAACCTTAACTGATCTGTGAGCAGGAGAGCAGGCAGGCTGGACAGGATGCCCCACGGCCCCTGTGTGGCTCCCTTGGGTGGTGCTGGAGGAGCAGCTTACGTTCTCGAGCACAGGGACAGCGTGCTTCATGCATTGGGTACACACTGTCTCATCTGTTTTCACAGCAGCCCTGTGGGCAGGGGCTATTTTCATACTGACCCCCATTACACAGCTGAGGAAAATGAGGCACAACGAGGTGGCATAAGGAGCCCCTGGAGGAGGACCCCATTCAAGATCTGGTTCCAGAGCCTGTCCCCTAACGCCAGGCTGTGCCTCCCTGTTGGTAATGCCAGTTTCCAGCTGGAGGCTTTCGGGCTGTCTTTCCCACATTGGGCCATTCACATTCACAGTTTCTGCCATATCTATGTCCCCTCTATGGCAGTTTTTTAAATATTGACTTACTTTTGAACTATAACTTCACATCATCAACTTGAGCGGAAAATGAGAGTCTTTGTTCATAAAAAGGTAACTAAAAGAGAAATGCTTTGGAAGATGAGCGACGCTGCCGAGGTCTGGCTAGATTCTGGGGGACCAGCAAGGCTCTGAGCCTGTGCTCTTTTTTGAAAGGAGAGATTTCAAATACTAAAAAGGTGTTGAAGACACAGCAGCACCACGCTGAGACTTTCTCCTCGGCCTAATCAGGAGGAGTGACGAAATGGTTGGCTGTTATTTACCATCCGGTCTACATCCCTCACTTTGGGAAATGCTTCCTGACTCCAACATGCAGCCACAAAATTCAGGACACAAGTTGGCATAGGGGAGGAAAAAATATCTTTTCCTCCTTCCCTTCTGAGCACTTGGTCATGGCCTCAGTAACTAAAGACAGGTAAAGGAGAGAAAAGCATAAAAATGTATTCAATTTAAGTTTTATGTGACATGGGAGCCTTCACAAGAAAATGAAGGCCCAAAGGAGCGGTTAGACCCGAGTGTTTTTGTGCTGGGTTTGGTGAAGGGTAGAGAGTCGCGGAGAAACAAGAGGGGACGAGGGAGGTGCGGGCTAAGGGTAGAGAACTGGGGAAGCAGCAAGGCCTGCTCATCAGGATTCCTCTCGGCCTCCCTGTGATTTCAGAGATGAGGATGCTCCTTGCCTCCGGGGACAGGGAGGGACTTCTCACACGAGTCTGTGACCTGCTCCAGGGGAAGGTCAAAGAGTCCTTCCAGCATCTGCTCTTTCTCAAATTCCTTTAGCTTAAAATATTCAAAGTGGCAACGTGCCATATTTTGGGGTAGCATGCCCAGAACTCCGTCACTGGCTACAAGGTCAGGGGATCCATGCAAGGCAAGACTTGGCCCTCGAGACAGTGAGGCTGTGTGTTTCGGGGAGGCCACAGTCTCGAAGGCACCGAGGTACAGATTCTTGAGAAACCAAAACAGGCTCCTTCTGAGACTAAAGTAGAATGTACTCCTGACAGTGCCCAGATTCAGTGTTTAGATGATTAAATGAAGGGAAATATTTTATGGTAAGTGTTCTTGGACAGAATATTGAGGGAGACAGAGTACGAGTGAATCAGAGTGTTGAATGCTTTGTCTAAAGCATCCTTTTAAAACGAGGTGGAAAGCCCAGCCACAGAGTCATCTCCTGTCCCTACCCTACCTCCAGCCATGAGGACCAGAGTCAGCATGTGTCCACCCTCCTGGCTGTAGATGAGGAAACCGAGGCCCAGGGAAATAGAGGGACTCGCTCAAGATCATGCAGAGAGGGGTCTGCTCCTGGGCACTGCCATCTGCCAGTGTGGCACTGCCCCATGGCCCCTCCCCACATTTCTCTAGAGTCCCCTGTCATCTGATTCTATAATCCCAGGGGTTCCAGTAGGAAAGAGCGGGCACATTCAAACTGAGTAATATGGAGAGCATTTTAATAGAGAGTCTATTGACAGCGGCATGGACAGCATGAGAGGGGCACTGCAAGGAGCATGCAGCACCTCGGGGTGTCTCAGGGCTAGGACAGCAAAGGCCTTAGTCTCCCTCCCCTGATAGAAGCTGTGAACTCTGGTCCAGGCCCAGCTGGCTTCTGGAGGCCTCAAGGGCAGGAGCTGGGGAGCCAACACCCCATCCTCCCTTTCCTCCCTCCCCCAGTCTCCTGCTGGTGCCCCCACTGGCCAAACCCAAAGGGAGCCAGGTGGCAAAGAGACCGAGGTGTGGTCCCCACAAAGGTGCTCCCAAGTGGGGCTGGGGAGGAGGAGCCAGCTGGTGACCTGGAGGGGGCAGGCCAGCTCCCTCCTACAGGGACCCTAACCAGGGCATGCCTCTGAAGAAGATGGCTGCAGACTCTCAAATTCTCCCAGGTCCTTAGACTGCCTGCTCCTGAGAAAGCTGAGAGAAAAAAGCCCTGGGCTTTGTTTTGCAAATGAGAGCAGTGTTTATAGACATTTGCAGTTAGGATCCAGATGGGCTGATGGGGCCAGAACTGGGGACACCCAAACAGGTAGACCCATAACGGACCTATAAGGGAGGTCGGCGAGGAAACGCTGGACGTCTCCCCAGGGTGACCGAGCTGGGAGGACCCACGCTGTCATGCAGCTGTCATTGTATCCATGGAAATGGGAGGCCCCGTGGGTAGGCTGAGGTCCTCCTGGCTGGACAGTCAGCCAGAGAGAGTGCCCATGGGGCAGGGGAGGCTCGTCTTTGCTCCTCCCCACGTGATGAATGTTCAGTAACTTTTAAAATATATTTTTTTAGTGGATGATTCTAACACATGACCTCTGACCCTCAGTTGAATTTTCTTTCCAGGAACCATGGGGGCCCCTCAGAAAGGCGGGTGCTCCCTCGTCCTGCCCTCCCCCAAACCCCTCCGTGAAGGGTCAGAAGGTTTCACTGCTCATGCATCTCCTGCAAGTTCCCAGTCCTGACCTCAGCTCCACTCAGGGCTTCCTGTAAACCTTTGCCGGGTGTTAACTGGACATCTTCCACTTCCCTTAGCCTCTTTTCTTTTTTCTTTTTTCCCCCCTACCATACTGAAACTCTTGGCTTTTCTTTTTTCTATTATTATTATTGAAACATAATTGATTGTACATATCTATGGGGTACAGCGTTGAATATCAATACCCGTGTGCAATATGTGATGCTCAAATCAGGATAATTAGTATAGTCAACATTACACAGTGTAATCATTTTTGTGGCCCTTTAACAATTTCTCACCAACCCCCCTCTCCCTCCCCCTCTTTTCTTTTTTAATGTATTTGAGTTCCCTGAACTGTCCACTGCCTGATCTCTACCTCCCACAACTGATTCAGTAAAGCAGGGCTTCTATAAACCCACATGCCTGATGTACAGACAAAGTTAGTTGAGGAGGGGCTGAGGGCTGGGGTAGGGCGGATCTGTGGCTACACAGACACACAGACACACATTCACACACACACACATTCACACACATACGTGCGTGCACCACAGCTTTTCACGCCCTTCCTGGACAGGAGTACAAGGTCACGCAGAATCTTGGAGAAAGTGCAAAGTCTGGAACAGAAAGAGGGGGTGCAAGCCCCTGGAGCTGGTGCCTCCCCCTGGATGGGAGGGAAGTGCAGGAGGAGGAGGAATGTAGAAAGGCTGACTCACGCCTTCCCACCAGGGGGAGGCCTGGGCTCAGAACTGGAGAGCACCTCGCACTGGTCACCACCACAAGGGACAGGAAATGCTCATCTGTATCCGTCTCCCTCACTAGGCTTGAAGCCCCTCGAGACCCCGTGTCTAATCCACCTCCACCACAGTCCTCCAGTCAGACCCCTCCCCTGAGCTCCAGACCCACACTGGACTCAACAGCCTCCCATGTCCCCACCTGGAAGTCTCAAAAGAACCTCACACTGGACAGTTTCCAGTCTAAACATGTGATCTGCCCTCCACATCAGCCTCCCTCTTTTCGCCCTTTTGCAGGAGATGGCAGCCCCTGGGGGCATCCTTAACGACGCCTTCCTCACCCTCTTCCCCAGCCCTGCCATGTGCAATCTGGCCCCAGGCATGTCCATTTTGCTCTCTAAACACCTCTGGAATCCACCTTCTTCAGTAGGCACCATGCGTGCCTGGACTAAGGGGAAGCACTCAGTAACCAGTCTCCCTGCTGCCACTCTGCTCCCACCACAGTCCCATCTTCCCCAGCAGCCGTCAGGGCCCAACACACATTCACACCAAGCTAGCTGCCTCCTGCCTCAGGGCCTTTGCACCTGCTCCTTCTGCCCAGGCATCCTCCCCTCCGCCACCTTCCTTTCTCCCTGTTTATCCCTGCTCATCCTCAGTTCTCATCAGCAATGTCTACTCGCCCTCTCAGACTGGCTTAGGACTCTGTATTACATGCTGTCATGGGGCCATTCGTTCAGTTCGATTACACTTAGATCAGCGTGCAATTATTTAGTGACTGAGTAATGTCTGGCTTCTCCATTAGCTTGTCAGCTCCCGGAGGACAGACGCTGAGCCTGTTCTCATCAAGTCCCTAGTGCCCAACACGGAGTAAGAAGGGAAGGACTCAGCAGACTGCACTTCCCTATCCTAGTGAGAACCTGTGTGTTTTATGGTCCTCAACCCCTCCCCTCATCTAACCATCTTTTCTCCTCTGTTCAGCCCAGGTGGGGCCTCGTTTGTGTCCCACTCTGAGTCCAAATGTTCTCTGCCTGGAAGATTCCAATGTTCCGGTCTGTTTATGAAGACTCTGTGCCCACCACAGCCTCTTTCAGGTGAGTCAAAGGGATTCTTCAATCTACTGTTTGGGGGTGGAGGAACAGACCACCTGGAGAACTCCCCAGAAAGCTTGATCCTCATGTCCTGGACAACAGTTGAAGGAACAGGCAATGTTTAGCCCAGAGACAAGACAGTCAAGTGTTCAAATCCCCGTAGTCCTGTCGAGAACAGAGGGAGTGGATAGTTTAGTGGGACTGGGGGAGGGGAGGGGAGTGGAAGGGAGAGGAAGGGATCTTCTTGTCATATGTGACCTGTCCTGGACAAACTTGGAAATGAAGGTAAGAGTTAAACCTTGAAGTCACCACCTAACAGATCAGACAGAGATGTCCCAGGTTGCCTTGCAGACAGAATGTCTCTGACATATGGCTGACCTCTGCTGGAAGACCAGAACACTCTAAAGAGAGAACTGGGGGAAAATGATCCAGAGTGGAGGCAGAGGAAAGGGAGGTCCCTGTCCTCAACAGGTAGTGTTGGCAAGACACAGGGGAGAGGGGCCCGGGCTCGGCTATCAACCGTCTTGCTGAGAAATTAACAAGTGGCTTCTGGTGCTACAGGAGGACACTGGAAAAAGTTCACAGAAAGATTTGTATCATCTTTTAATTCTATTTTTCCATATCTTTTGGAAGTACCATCATATGCTTCAGTATCTAGTGAGCTAGCCCCTGAGAGACCATCGAGTCCCCAAGCCCAGGGCACTGAGAAAATGCATTTTCTGTAGCTGCAGAAATGGAGCCAAGGGTTGGACCAAGGGGATTACCCAGGGGACGTCTTCCCTTCAGAGGACTCTGGAAAAGAGCCTGCCAGTTTCCATGGTCAGGAATTCAGGGCACAGAGGAGACTGCTTGTCTCTATTCCAGGGTGTCTGGGGCCTCAACTGGAAGATGCAAAGGCCTGGGACCAGAATCAACTGAAGGCTTAAATGGGGCCAGAGGATCCACTTCCAAGGTGGCAAGTTGGTTCCTCCCCACCTGGCTGTTTGACTGTCCTCACAATACAGTGGCTCCTCCCCCAGGGCGAGCAAACCCAGAGGCCAGGGAGGAAGATGCAGGGCATTTTATACCCAGCCTGGAAGTCACGCACCACCACGGCTGGTTAAAGGCAAGTCACTAAGCACAGCCCACATCCATGGGAGGAGGAATTAGACTCCTCCTTCTGACGAGAGGAATGTCAAGGGGGTCTTTCCAGAGCATACTTCCTGTCCCGCCACCCCCTCCTTACAGTCCTCAGGACAAAGTCTCACTGCCCTGGCACCTGGTAAAGGCCACCCTTATTCCCTGATTCAACCTCATCTGTAGCCACAACCCACCTCTCCTGTTCAGCATTTAATGCCATCTTCCAGAACACACCAGCAGCTTTCCCACTTCAGTGCTCCCTCAAGCTGTTTCTCCTACCTGGTCTGTCCTACCTCCTTTTCGTCCTCTGTTGCAATGCTCCTCATCCTTCAAGACCCAGCTCCAGAGTCACCTCCTACCTTATTCACCTGCCCCCACCCCAATTCTGTGTCCCATGCCCCTCCTCCAACACCCATGGCCCTCATCCCACACTGGGCCACAGTTGTCAGGAGCTTGGCCAGGGTGGTGGACAGGCAATATCCCCCTCTGTGTCCCTGCACCCAGCGCAGAGCTCAGCACAGAGCAGATGCCCAAGAAACATGTAAAGGGTAAAAGTGTTGATTAATGAGTTAATCCCAAGTCTCCAGTCTGGCTCCAGGATGCCTGCCGGCTGCTCTAGGAAGCAGAAGGGCTTTTCCTGGGAAATCCCAGAAGCAATTAGCAGCATCTTTCCCATAATTTGTTGCTCACCACCTCCATGAGCCTGCCCAACAACGGACCTCCCAGGGAGAGCCTCTTTATCTCCACCCTCCCTCACCCACACCACAGGGCACTAGGAAAATGCCGTATCACTCCTGCCCTCCGGGTTGTGCTTTAGGCTTTTCAGTATGTCTTCACATTCACTCTTTCATTTGAACCTTGCAACCACCATGCAAAGCAAGTCTGGGAGAGAGTAATACCCTACTCCCAAGATAGTAATATGGGAGCTCAGAGATGTCAAGCAATTTGCCCAAGCCACACAGCTAGGATTGGAAACTGTATCTGTCCAAGCCCCATGCCTCTTTGCTGAAAGTAGAGATGAATTAGCCTTCACAGCAATACTTATAGAAAGTGGCCCGCCCCCTAGCCTGTGAGTCTTGCCTAAGAGTGAGAGAGGAGCCAGTGGGTTCATGACAAGGTCACCAATACAGGAGCAAGAACCCACAGACAGTGGTTCTGGAACTTAATGTTAGTTGTTTTAACAGGTTCACAAAAATAGATAATTACCAATGTTTATTAAACCAAGCACAGTGCTTGGGGCTTTTTGCACATTGTCTCAGATCCCCACCACAATCCTGAGAAGTAGGTTTTGTTATTTCCATTACACAGGTTAGGTCATCAAGGTTCAGAGAAGATAAGCAACTTCCCTGAGGTCACACAGCTAATAAATAGGGGAGCCAGGATGTGAACCCAAGAGGACTGGCTCCAAAGCCCCCACTCTCCCTCTCTATCATGCATCCTCTGATCGTCTTCAAGGCTGCGCCAACGGAGGGTGTGGAAGTACGAAGCTGCCCTTTGCCAGGAGAGGCAGCCTGTCCAGTGAGACAGGGCACAGGAAGATGGGCTGTGGTCTCAGAGCCAGACTGGAATCTCCCTGTCTGGCATGATATCATTTTTCTCCTCTAATAAATTATTCATCTGTGACAAGGTTTTGAGAGGCTGGAGGATGACCAGCTCCCTTGGGAGGGGCCCTAGGGAGGAGCCCATGCAATAAGGAAGGAATGCGCTGTGTATCCTCCTGGCATGGAAGCTCCAAGGAGGTGCAGGGTCCAAGACTCGTGATTGTTAGTGCTCTTGATGGACAATGGCCAAGGAAATAGCCCAGTGGAACCACGAGGCGAAGAACGTGAGATCCGGTTTAGGCCCAAGGAGCTCAGGGGGCACTTGAAGACCCCAGGGAGTCAGGTGTACCAGGACAGGAGTCTCCAAGCACTGGCCACAGAGAACAGCCTGAGTTGCACCCAACTTCGCCACGTCCTGGTTGCTCGCCTCAGGGAAGCTGTTTGCTGAACATGTGACCCATCTTATTCCCCCTGTCCTCCTGCACCTGCCGTTTCTCCTTTCTCTTGCAACCTTGAGGTATAACAGCCTCTTTTCCACTTTCTTTCAGCGCCAAAATGCTCAATGTCACCTCGCAAGTCCTTGTGCCTGCTCTTAATGGGACCCTTTCCCAGAGCAACAATTGCCCCGACACCGAGTGGTGGGGCTGGCTCAACGCCATCCAGGCCCCCTTCCTCTGGGTCCTGTTCGTGCTGGCTGCGCTCGAGAATGTCTTCGTCCTCAGCGTCTTCTGCCTGCACAAGAGCAGCTGCACGGTGGCGGAGATCTACCTGGGGAACCTGGCCGCGGCAGACCTGATCTTGGCCTGCGGGCTGCCCTTTTGGGCCATTACCATTGCCAACAACTTCGACTGGCTCTTCGGGGAGATCCTCTGCCGCGTGGTGAACACTATGATCTACATGAATCTGTACAGCAGCATCTGCTTCCTGATGCTGGTGAGCATTGACCGCTACCTGGCCCTGGTGAAAACCATGTCCATGGGCCGGATGCGTGGGGTGCGCTGGGCCAAACTCTACAGCCTGGTGATCTGGGGGTGCACGTTGCTCCTGAGCTCACCCATGCTGGTGTTCCGGACCATGAAGGAATACAGAGACGAGGGCCACAACGTCACCGCCTGTGTCATCAACTACCCATCCAACACCTGGGTGGTGTTCACGAACGTCCTCCTGAACTTCGTGGGCTTCCTGCTGCCTCTGAGTATCATCACCTTCTGCACAGTGCAGATCATGCAGGTGCTGCGCAACAACGAGATGCAGAAGTTCAAGGAGATCCAGACGGAGCGGAAGGCCACAGTGCTGGTGCTGGCCGTGCTGCTGCTGTTCGTGGTCTGCTGGCTGCCGTTCCAGATCAGCACCTTCCTGGACACGCTGCTGCGCCTCGGCGTCCTCTCTGGCTGCTGGGATGAGCACATCATCGACGTGATCACGCAGATCAGCTCCTTCTCGGCCTATAGCAACAGCTGCCTCAACCCGCTGGTGTACGTGATCGTGGGCAAGAGCTTCCGGAAGAAGTCTCGGGAGGTGTACAGGAGAGTGTGCCAGAAAGGGGGCTGCGGGCCAGAACCCATCCAGATGGAGAACTCCATGAGCACGCTGCGGACCTCCATCTCGGTCGAACGCCAGATTCACAAATTGCCGGACTGGGGAGGGAGCAGACAGTGAGCTACTGTTCATTCATACAAGGATTGATGGACAGTTACTCTTCACAGGAACCCAGGAAGGAGCAAAAGACATCCCGTGTGTGACCTTGGGCAGAGTCAGTGTCTCGAGTAAAACACAGGAGAGTAATTCCTGCCATGCTCAATTGCAGTGAGTGTGGCTGCAAGGATGGGTGACCTTGTGCACAGCCAAGGGCTCCATAAACACAACAGTATTATTGGTCTTATTTGCTGCCACCCCTGGGCCAGGCTGCTCCTTCCCCGGAGTGGAGGGGTCCTGGGGGCAGGGCAGGAGTGACTGAGCTTCCCTCCCACATGGTGTCCCTCCCAGCCCCAGCATGGCAGCTCAGATCTCCAGGGGAACTGCCACCCTAGCTTTGGTGCAGTGGCTGAGTGTGCACAGGGAGTGGTGCTGAATTATTGCCCTGGGCTTCTTTCATCCACTCAGCTAGAACCTTGGAGGACAATTTCTCAGATGAATGAAGGTTAAACTCTGAGGGATCCCTGATAAGAACCCAGGGACAAGGATTCTGTGGCTCCCTTCACCAAGAGACAAGGTACTCTGTGCAAAAGACGAACCCAGGGCCGGCCCGGTGGCGCACTGCTACAGTCCGCCGCTTGGGAGCGTGGCGGCGCTCCCGCCGAGGGTTCAGATCCCACATACAGACCAGTT